CTATAATATAATTACAATATTACTAATATTATTATATGATAAATATATGTTAAACATATGTTAAAAATATTATTATCTTATTTAAAATTATTTTTTTTTGTTCTATTAAATCACCTTTATTTTGATGTATATTGTATATTTAAAATATAATTACAATATGGGTTTAATATTGGAAATATCTTTTTATTATCTAATAGTAATATAATAAAATAATATTTAATAATATAATAACAATCTGTTTAAAATATTACCAATATATTACCAATATCTTAGCAAAGCTTATATTTTAGTAATATGATAACAAGCAAATTAATAGTAATTTAACAGACTAAAAATATTTTTATTATATTTTTTATTATATAATAATTATAAAGTATACATATTGGAAAAATCAAAGGTTCTGTAAAGTATGTGAATTGCTAATTAAAAAAAAAAAGTATTAAGATTCAGTTATTTAATAGAACGGATTACAATTTCGATTCGGCCATAGCTTACTGATCAAGTTAATTATAAATCCATATGTAGAAGTTTATTTAAATTCCGCTGCTACAATATATATTCCAATTTGGAATCACAAATTTATAAAATTTAAACTTTTAAAGTTTTAGGTTTTCATATCGATATACTATATATATATATTGATATCATTTTTACCGTATTTTTCGCGTAACAACGCTTACCTACGCGCTATTTTGAGCATATGTGTGTTATTTCGAGTACGTGCATTATTTTGAGTTAAAAGCCGATCATCCGACATAGAAAGACATTTATGTAATCGGCTAATTTATATTGATCCAAACATACGGAACGCGCATGGCGTTATTTCGAAACCATGCATGTTATTTTCAAATGATGCGATTTTCGAAATAATGTTCATGGGAGTTATTATGCGAAAATAAAGTATATGGGTTTTCTTTTTACGTATTATGGTTAGTTTTGATTGTTGAGCCTCTTCTTGGTTATTAAAACTAATTATATAGGGATTTAGGTTTTACACAAAATCCCGAAAGACAGATTCCCGAAAGGACCTAATTCCGACAAAGTTAGCCGGCATTAGTTATAATGCTGGCCAATTTAGTTGGCATTATGTTCTTTCGGAAAATGGGTTTCGAGATTTTGTGGTAGAACCATAATTTTTATGCCATCCAATTCATCTCAAGAAAAGGAAGCGAATGGTATAAAAACCGTTCTATTAGGTTAGTCATTAGATCATTGGATGTTCTATTCATCAACTTCGCCACAATACAAGGATAATTTCTGTAGAGATAATAATATGCAGCATGATGTAACAAACGAATCAATTAAATTGATTGATACAAAGTGATCATTTGATTGTACAAAAGCCGAAATTACACCAATACCCGTATTTCGCATATTGTTTATAAATATATGCGCTGTATGTATAATACTGATACTCATTGATTACTAAAAAACAAGATGGAAGTATCAAGATCATTTATTGTTCAAAGTTCAGTTTTCATTATACTTTTATCGTTGATTTTCAAATACTTTAGTACAAATATTTCATCATGGAAAGAAATAAAAGATTTTCCACCTATAATTTCGCCTCTTGCTTATCAATTACTTATGAGCATTATATTTCTCATATCAATCTCTTTATCATTTAACCCACCTACAACCAAAATACATTTCTTTATTCTTTATACATTAGCTTTTCTCCAAATTTTAATCCCAATGTTATATAACAGTAAATATCATTGTACACTTCAAGCAGCAAGCTCGGTTTTTAATTTCGCAATTGCCTGCAAACTTTTGCTATGGTTAAAAAAATATCATTCACCCGACACACAAGAATCAGAATTTAATTCATTTTTTTCAACACTATTTATTTGGAGACCTGACCCATTAAAAATCGACAAATCAGAGAAAAAATACATTGATCAGATTACTATAAACGATTATTTTGTTAATCAAGGAAAACGTTTTGCAATAACTACTTTCAAATTTTTAGTTTTTGAATTTATATTGGCATGGGCTGAAACTTACAAACCAATTATCCCAGATAGAATCTATCTATTTCGAGTTATTGATTATTTCTTGACAGGAAAACCATTTATTACTCCATTTTATTTATTTTACAATTATGTCCTGGCTGTAAATATATATATATTTATTTCTTTGGCTTATGATATTTTTGTGCTTTCTTTTGGACTATTGCTTCCGCTACTCCAAATAATCCAATCTTCTCAATATTCGGTCAACAAAATTTCCAAATCTCGATATCAAGCCATACTATCATCAAAAATACAAGAAGTTAAAGAGTGGTTGATCCTTTTATTATTTCACACAAAAGTTCCAATGAATTTCCCTTTCATATCAACAAGTCCACGAGATTTTTGGTCTAAGCGTTGGCATATTGTCCTTCGAGAAATTTTTCTAGATCTAGGTTATGTTCCCGTCAAAAATCTTTTTGGTAAGCATAAAAAAATTGGAAATATTTTTGGGATATTGTCTGCTTTTTTTGTTAGTGGACTATTACATGAATATATAGTTTATTGTATGTGGGGTAATAGTCCAGGTGAACAAATGCTTTTCTTTTTGTTTCATGGCCTTTTGCTTATTCTTTGGGAAGTCGCTGAAGGTTTGTTGGTTGGAAATGGAATAGCCATAAATGAAGTAAAAGATAGTTGGGGAATATGGTTATTTAAACTGATATTATTTAATACTATCGCCATATTTGGTATTCCTTCGTTTTTTGAACCTTATCTTCGTGAAGATTCTTTTGTTTGTATGATTCAGGTCGGATTGTTTCACAATAAAATAGGATTAAGTTAACATTTAAAAGGAGTGAAAATTCTGAGCAAAAATGAAATAAAATATTTAGGGGAATGTGAACAAATATTATTTACACTGTATGATAACTTACATTAATGTTCTGTAATTTAAGACATTACTCGTGCTAGTCTTTTAGCAATTTTAATCATAATAAAATTACAGTTACTCCAAAATTTCATAATGAGACTTCACGTTTCAGTTTTACTAATCATTAACGTGCTTAATACACCAAACTTTTTTTTTCATGAAAGCGTCTAATATCTGTATGATTGCGATATAAAAGATAATAATATTCGAATGATTATTTTTTAATGTTTCTCAAATAAACTATAGACATTATTGATAGAGTTTAAAACGTAACAGATTATTGAGTATGCTTAGTTCGTTTAGTAAGAAGTGCAAGTATTAAAAAAAACCAATTGTTGCTTGTACACATACGGACCTGTGTGTTCTTGAAAAAGTGACTTTAAATGATTATTCAATAAGCAATATCAAGTAGCGATGCTGATGCATTAATTAAAGAGATAAACTAATGATTATATTATTTTGAAATAAATTATCCATTTATTTATATTTATCAATAAGCTTTAGCGTTAAAATACTTACTATAATGAATATTACTAAATAAATGATACTGCCAATAATGGTGCCAATAATTAAGTTAATGTTTGTATTGCTTGAACTTGAATTACTTGTAGTAGTTGTAATAGTTTTAGTAGTTGTGGTATTTGGGGTAAATTCATTAACCCATTTGTAGGAATTTTTTTGGCCTACATCTAACATATATATTTTTGATGAAACACTGAAGTTTGAAAATTCACCTATTGAATAAATAAAAGTTTAGCAGGTTTAAATAATTTATAACAGTATAAAAATAATTAAAATTTTTACCAAAAGCAACAAACATATAATTATCCACTAAAGTTGCTGTATGACCATGAAGAGTTAAACTCACAATTGGATTTAAAATATTTCCAATTGACCATTGGAACGTTGTTATATCTAAGTTCCACAGGTCACCCAAAGTTTTAGTTTCATACAAACCATCGAAAATTATAATATGTTCGTCAGAGGCTTTAATTTAATTATTAATAAAAGCAACTTTTATGTTTAAAACACTTATTGAGAAATTTTATAATAAAACATTTACTGAAATTGTTAAATGACATACTTAATACTGCTGAGGAATATACGCGAACTGGAGGAGTTGGGCCAGATATACTCCATTGAAATAACACATTTAGATTAGTAGATGTTAAGAAATAATAAAAATTATTTTCACTAATTACGTACCATATTTGTCCACGTATCAGATTTTGTATTATATAATGGTAACTACAAAATATTATTACAGTAATAAATAAAAAGCTAAAAAATCAAATTTATTAAAAGGCAACATTTACATTATTCATTGGCAAATACACGGAAAAATTACCACCGTAAATAGTTCCACCTATATATAAAATATCCTCATCAGGCAAAGTTACTGCACAATAACCCCACAAAGGTAGAGGTGCATTTGTTGCATTACTTAAACTCCATGTTAATGTTAATGTGTCGAATATCCAAAGAACACTAATAAATAAATCAGATTGACTAAAAATTGCAATCAATCCATTGTTAAACTTAGCACATGAAATATCGTCTTCATGTGTGGGTACATTTCCAACAAATGTTATATTAATCCATTGTAGTTTACTTATATCAAATTGACTAACGTATGATTGATTAAAGCTAGAAGGAATACCACCAAAAATAAAAATCATGTCGTTATTTTTTCCACCAACACACATTGTAGCAGATTCTTTCGAAGGACCGCCAGTATAAGTAAGGTCAACCCATGGTATTGAGACATCATCAGTTATTGTAAATGGTATGGAAACATCTAAATAAAAGAATTCATTCGTAATTCTAGAACTATTAATTCCGCCACTAAAATAGATTTTCTTATCAATAAGGACTGATCTTCCATTTGGAATAAAAACAGCAAAAGTAAAAATAAAATTTAAAAGAAAAGTGAAGATATAAAAATCAGAAGACAACATAATTATGCGTTGAACTAAAGAGCTAAATAGAATAATAATTTAAATAACTAACTTTTTATAATGATTTATTGACCGTTATTAGTAATGGATTTCTCGATTTGATACATTGTTTAACAATGCTTCAAAACAAATTGATTCGAGACCAAACAAACTATATCGATATTGAACCGTATCACATAACTGCACGTTCTAGCGACAATATACTCTGCTTTAGAGATTGTACCCAGGTAGACATTTTTATTATATGGTTATAATAAATTACCCGGATAACCGGGTAATTTAATAATACCCAGATAGAGATTTTCTTGACGGGTACAATCTCTACTCTGCTTTAACCAAATTAAAGTTTTTATTTAATATTAATTAACATCAGTGTCTAACGTTGTTGGTGTTCTAAGCTTTATACAATGGATGAAAATAAACTTTGAAAATTACGGGGGAGAACTTATAATTGTACGAAATGATTTAATAATTTTATGGATTTATATGATGTTATAATGTTATTATGATAGATGCAATTTATATAAAAACTTTTTAGATAGATTAATATTCGGATAACTTTATATAATGAAGATGAGGCTTACAAAAAAATTTGGAAAAAAACTTTTTTCAAAAATAAAAATAATTTAATGTTCGAAAGTGAAAACATGTAAATTTACATGTATTTACAAACGTTTAACATAAAAATCAATCAGTTAAAATTTATTCAAATTTTAGAAAATTTTAGCAAAATGCCAACAAAACATTAGAATCTGAGTCCTTTCACTGGCGATTATGATATAAATTTTTTTTTTTTAGAACACTTACAATGGCAAAAACATTGTTTTTGACCCACTTAACCATTTTTGTTGAACCATCCTAAAAAAAGTCGTTTTTAACGATCATATGAGATACATATCATCAGTCTTGTGGAATCTGCAATAACTTAAAAGTACATATGAGTGCCGCCAAGGGAAAACCCACAATCGGGCTTTCAATATTCAGTTTGTTTTCTGTATACCATCTAGGAACAGTCTATCATCGGCTTTCAATTTTATTTGACAAAATATAATTCAAAGCCCGATGATAGATTTTCCCTAGACGGCACACAGAAAACAAACTGAATATTGAAAGCCCGATTGTGGGTTTTCCCTAACCCACCTAGCATTGCCACCCAAATCAGTTACGTAATAGTAGTTTGAAAATTAAATCTGAGTTATTTTATTCTCAAAATTTAAAAATCAAGA